TGTAGAATAGATCATTGAGTTCTACTCCATCCTTCACGTCAAAGTCCACAGGAAATTGTTTGAGTGGAGGAAGCAGTGATTCTGAACGATTGTGTCCATATGATGTAAAACTATTTTTCAGTGGACACTGGCAAAAGACAACTAACAAATTGTAATTTTCCTCTTTTTTTTAGTGTTAATGTACCCCTTGTCCGCACATATACAATAATTATAGATTAAGATTCTCCTGAACATTTTCATTCATCAAAATCTTTTTATTTAGAAAAAGAAAGCCAACAAACATGTACTCAATAATAATGATTTATCATCATCATCAACTTACACAGTGGTACAATAAACAGAAGTAGCACTGATTGTGATTATTTGAAGATGTTTTTGTTATTAATTTTAAAAAATCCAAACCGTTATACATGACCTATAACATAGACAGATAACTTGACAAAATTTGAAAAAAAAAAAGAGAGAGAGAACCGTCCCGGTTACCACAACTTCCCTCGTGGCTCTTGACTTAGTCACATTAGTGAGACTTCTTCCTCTGCTCACAGCGAGGACCAGAGTAAGGAGGACGACAGCGGCATGTGTTAGGGGAGATGCACTTTCCTCCGTTCAGACAGGGCAGAGCGCACACAGCTAAGGGAAAATGAGACAAATAATTAGCACAATAAATGAAGGAAATTGAAAATCAAATAATTAGGCTTCATGTATGTGGTTACTTTAAGTTGTGTTTTTTTTTGTTTGTTTACATTATAAGTTAACATTTTTTCTCATACGAGCAACCGTGTAGCTATTTGTGGGTTAACGTATCGTGAATTTTTCTCTTAGCTCCCCATATATGCTGTTGTAAATTCAATTTTCATCACTTTCTAAAACTATCTAAAATGTGGGAGAACAACTATGGTGGACAGCTAACTTATTTAGTGTTTTAGCTCAAGTTTTTCACACTAAAGCGCTTCTGTGGTTGAACTGTTGTTTTTTTTTAGCTAATTGAATCTTCTTATTAGCTATAATGTAATATAACATATATAATACATTGTCAGTTGTATTTGTTGTTTAAATTAAGGTGCGTAAACCACCACGAACCATCACTTACGGTAACTGCTGTATTGCGTTTCAAATGTTTCCAAACGGAAGGAATCATTTGAAATACTTTAGTCATCAGTTCCTACTTTGTTTGTGGATCATCTACAGAACCCTGTTGTTGTAAGTTTTCACTCCGACAGATTTGGCTGATATTAAACAGACCAAACCAGGCCTGAGTCCAATGACCCAGCTGTGGGAATATTTACAACTAAAGCTATAAATTTTAAAAAATACACATCCAAAAACCGATAACCTGCTTTTGGCCACATCTGGAAAAGTTCTGTACATGACATTTCCATCAGCAGACCTGTAATTTGTTCATACTGATATCTAAGTCAACGATGGGGAGAGAAAATAATGTAGAATTCTGAACATTTAAGTGCATTGTTCATGAGTGTGTGTTTGCTGTTCTGGGATCAGTGTAAACCCACCGTTGTGACAGGCCCCGCCCAGCCACCCCTCAGGACAGCTGCAGATTCCTGGAGCCACACAAATGCCTCCGTTCCTGCAGCCCTGAGGACAAATAGCTGCAGGGGGAAAGAACAGACGGACATTTTTAATTTACTGCCGTTACCTACTCCTCTCCCTGCAGATGGCGCTGGAAACCACCTACCAAAACATTGAAATGATCACTAACTGGTTAAAAACTGTTATGTAGTAATGTTTGTAGAGGACAGTGAACGCCTCTCCCTGCAGTTGTTTTGATGTAGCGGGCGTCAGCTGAATGAATGGCCACGGTGTTAACACTTTGACCCTGGGTGTCAGTGGGGTAATTAGAGATGCTTTAAAACAGACCCTCTTGGCATTTAGTGCCGGTCCAACTTGAGGGGCAGATGCACTTGGCCACTCCATTCACAGCAGTACATTCTCCACCATTCCAGCATCCTGTGTCACACGTCACTGCCAAAATACAGGAACACGTCATGTCATGTCAATCAAGATTTTTTTTTTTTTTTACTTTTAGCTAAATTTCTAGCTTTAGGGATATGACTGGATTATTTTGACTGAAGTAAATTAGTAAAACTGAAGTACAATTTTTCCCACTGAGGCCCAGTACCTAATGACCTACAGACTGGCGCCGGTCCCCGGACCCTTGCTTTAGCTAACACAGTTGGCTTAAATTGCTTCTTTAGTAAGAAAATCCTGTCTTGCACAATTAGCACACAGTCATGTTTTTATGCAGTGACCAATTAGGAACTTTGAAAATATAAGTCATTTTCTCTTCCATTATTGCTTAAGCATTGTTGTCATCTCCATTGTTAGCCTAAAGAAAATCACGCAATACTGCCACCTATTGGCCTGTGTACATTAGTGTCAACCATGTACCAGAATTTAAGGCATTGAAAATTGTTTAATTAAATTAATATTATTTTTGTGTTATTATGTTTGTAATGTGTTAAATAATACCAATGGTTTAGTCAAGTTCATTTTTGATGTTTTTTTTTTGTTTGTAATGTGTTAAACAATACCAATGGTTTAAAGCTGTTTTAAAGTCAAGTTCATTTTTGATGTTTTTTTTTTTAATTCTTTAATGTCTAGAAAAGATGTTTTTTCAGCAGAGCATCTTCAGCTATTTTTTTTTTTTTTTTTGGATAATATAATACAAACAGGATATGTACATTTCAGGCTTGTTTTATAATGACCCCACTCACCTTTGTGGCAGTATTTCCCTCCGTATCCAGCAGGACATCTGCATTTTCCAGGCCGGAGACACTCTCCTCCGTTCTTACACTTGGGAAAACAGCTGGCTGTGGTCACACAAGAGAGTAAGTTCAAAAAATGTTCCTCAACCTCTTTAGATTAGCTACGTTCAATGGGTTTTATATGTAACACAACACTTTTTTTTAAATTAAATATATATACATATAAGGTCTTAGTCATGTAACTTCTGTTATCTGGATTTGAAGGGTTTTTTTATATATATATTTCACCAAATGCTTTAATTGTCAGTTTAATTGTAAAAAAAAAAAAAGTGTAAGGAGTGTGTGTGTGTGTGTGTGTGTCACATCACTAAACTGGCAGGTCTCTCCCTCGTAGCCCCTGGAGCAGAAACATGTGTTGTTTCGGATGCACACTCCTGCGTGTTCGCACGGAGGATCGCACTTCGCCTGCGGGTCGAACACGAAGCCGACGGCGACGCCGCGCGGCGCATCCGAACCGGCGGTGCTGAGGCCGAACAGAGCGACGACGACGGCGGCGGCGGCGGCGAAGAAAAGCGAAATCGAAGCCATGGTGGGAAGATGGTGACGAAAGAAGAAAATAAGAGAGATGGAGACTGAATGAATCCCTGAGAGAAGTTAGCGGGAGGACTCCACGTCGCCACCGCTGCTGCAGACGCAGGAGTTGCAGCTAAGGTGGAGTCAGAGCGATGGGCGGCCGTGGCGGTGGGCGGGACCACCAGAGCAGGTGGGAGAAGTTTTTCTGGAGAAAAAAAGAAAATGTAAAAGTGGACATATGCTCACAGCAATACGAGTTTAGTACCATTTTAAAAAACAATCTTTGTGTAGAGACTCCCTTCAGCAAACTCTCAAGAAGCTAAACAAGTGAACACATTTAAAGTTTATTTTTTTAATTTTACCCCAACCCCTAATGCTCCTCTCCCAAAAAAAACTAAAACAAAAATCAGACATTGTTGCTAAAAAAAAAAAAAAAAATCAGAGGAAACACTGTAGTAAATAATAACGTTTTTAGCCCTGGTTAAATGATAGTGGCCTAAGAATGGAGCCCTGAGGAACCCCACACATTATCTTAGTTCACTCCTAATATTCTTGTACCATAGCAGGATAGCTAATTTTGTCAATTCATCGTTTCAGGTTTTAAAGTCTCTTTTAGTGAACCTGGAGTTTGGCTCGCCCCTGTTCTGCCGACCCTCTATTTTGGACCGTCATGGGGGTTCTCTGCGGTGACCTTGCTCCTGCCGTAGACACCTTTGGTCTACATCAGAGCAGTGGTTTTTGTAACGGTCATAACATTTGACTTGAAGCTCATTAAAAAGGTCATTGTCAGAGGCAGAGGTCGTCACAGTGTCGCGACACCGAGGGAATAATGCACAGGTGTTAAATCTCTCAAATCACCTCTGCTTTTCCTTTGCTAATATTAGCCTGGATGGTCATCTGACACTGAGCCCAGAGCAACATCAGTCACATGGCCAAAAATGTTTAAAACAGGGCCATCAAACTCATTCTGGTTCAATGGTTCTGGTTTTGCGAATTTTTCGGTTCACGAACGGCCTTCAGGAACAAATTAAATTAGAAAACCGAGGTCTAACTACAAGTATATTCGAAAATATTCATATTTAATGAAATATAATTTGACAAAACATCCTGAAAATAAAATGTTTTTTTTTTTTTGCATTTTATTCACTTTTCAAAATTCATTAAGTGGGCCGGATTGAACCCTTTAGTGGGTCGGTTTTGGCCCACGGGCCGTATGTTTGGCAACCCCTTTTTCAGACCTTTGGAAATAATTGAAATAAATCCAAGACTCGTGTAAGTTTAGGTTTAGGTGTTTATGTTAGATGCTAGTCTGTTCATAGTTCATTTTTATTTTCTAGTCAATCTATGAACAGAAGATATAATGTGAGTAAAGGTTTGTAATATTATATTATATAGTTATAATATAAATCTGCTGCCTATTTACTATTCCTGTTTGCTATGGAGGATTTCTCTCTGTGCTATTTGATGCAGTGAAGTAAGAGGTTAGTAAAAGTTTCCCAGACTGCTCTGGGATCAGATTTTTAACAGCGTCGACTCCAGCAGATGGAGACTTTATTAGGCGAGTCCTTTTGTTAAGTGGCTGACACAGTTATTTCCTGGCTGTCATGTTTTCATCATCATCAGTCCTCAGTACTGTTCATGTTCCAGCGCCTCATAAAACCATATGTTGCACTAGTTTCACATCAACAACAACAAAAAAAAGTTACTCAAAATTCAAGTCAGCGTTTTAACTCCAGTCAGTGGAAAATCATCCATAATGTGTGTGTGTGTGTGTGTGTGGATGGAGACCACATATGGGGAAAGCATTAGCTTCTACCTGGAGACAGGAAGTGCTGGGTTCATATACATATGAAGTGTGGGCTCAGTGTTAATGGCAATAACACAGCTTCTCCACTGGGCCTGTATACTGTTAAACCTGTTGGCTGAGACTGTTGTCGTCGCTGTGATCCAGCTGGAGCAAACTCAAAACAGATATTTGAAAAAAGGAAAGTACATATTTAAAACTTGAGGCAGTTCTACACAATTAACAGGGGGGGTTACATCTACTTCCATGGGCTCACATGTCATACTCCAGACTGCAGCTCTGCGTCAAACCACTGACCTGGATCTCAGAGAGGAAGGAGCCTAATGCAGTAACGACAGTAGCAGATGTGAACATGCATCCATCACAGCAGCTGTCGGAGGCCTTTTGGCTCCACTCTGATACCCTGTACTGCAGTCACTAACAGTACAGTGTAGTATAATACAGTCTCAAATGATGCAGGGTTCATATTCATATAGTTTCATGTTCATATAGTTTGAAAAAGGAAGTTTGTGAAATGGACTAGGGAAAATGTGTAATCGAAAGAAACGTTTTAAAAACTGGAAGCAAAACTAGAGAACTAAATATTATGAAGGATGACCGGAACAACTAGACTAATTAATTTAATTATGAATTAATAATTAAATGAACAACTGATACAATGAAAGGAACTATTTGTGAACTCAGTAAAAGCAAGAAAAAAAATGTAGCAGTCAAACTACTAGAAATACAACAAGAACTAAATTAAGTAGAACCAGAAAAGGAATAAAAACATACAACAAAAAAGATGTACTGAACTCTGTCTGTCTCTGCCCTCTAGCGGTGGATTTGTTTTTGTACCTGGTCTAATATTGCTCTACCAAGTAGGCCAATCAGTACTTTCACTGACCTGCTGGGTTTTTTTTGCTTTTGGTTAGAAAGACAGAATGTGGATTATGAAGATGCTTGTTTGATGTTTCAGTTACTACAATATATATATATATTAATTTTGCTTTTATTTTAGTTTGTTTTGGCATTGCAACACTATCAGTGCTCATCTTAGAACATAATATTACACTTTAGAAAAAATGAAGTACTTTAGAGAAGTTTTGTGCCCCAAGGACTGTCTCTGGTCCTTTACCTTATATTAAATTATTTTTTTATGTTAAAACTGCGTTTGAGTTTTTTTTGTAATTTAAGTTTAAACCTTAAATGATTTAGATGTTTTTAAAATAATCGATTCAAATATAAAATATATTGAAGTGTATGGTTTACTAGAAAAAACAAGGATCTAGTTAAACTGGGGAGATGGCACCACCTAGCGTTCCAAACAAAGCACAACAAGTAAGAAGTATGTGGTACAACCAATCAACCTTTTTATTTCTATTTTCATGCGATTTACAACAAAACACCAATGATTTACATGATGGGCTATAAAAATAAATACAATAAATTCGAATGAATATGAGTTTATTTATATATTTATACTCGACCCACAGGTAAATCTTTCGATATCCTTCCATCGTTTCTGATAAATGAAACCGATCATTAACAAAGAGCAGGTGATTTCAAATTGAGGGGAGCTGGTGAAGAGGACACAGTACAGAAGTGGTTTCAGTAAAACAGACCCGTTAACAGACATTATCCTAAATTCAACACGTTAATTAACCCTTTAATTCCAAACAAGTCTAGTTTGACAGATGAATAAAAAAACCTTAACATTTAAAAGATCATCAGGTTAACAGATGTTAGCTGTTACTGCTAAACGAAAATCAACACAGTCAAAACCAACAACGAATCAATCAAAAACGATGAAGATGAAGACCATACATCAAATGTACAGTTATTAACAACACAATATCAAGAATAATATCTGACTCCAAACAAACACTTCAACTGCAGATGAGGGAATGGAGTAAGTGGGTTTTTAAATGAGGTTAAAAAAACAGTCACTCACTTTCTGTGAATCGGTGACAGGCTAAAGTGCATTATATTTGAAAACACTGTTTTCTTGGGGCGTGACATTGTCAGTATTGGTTTTCCTTATACAGTAAAAAATGTTTCTGTAGTCTCAGCAAAGCAAAATAATAAAATCCTTAAACTGCGTCTGATTTAGTGGCAGCTGAACGTGTCTGTACAAGACAAAACTGTTCAGTGTTGGTGTAAAAATACAGATTTAGTTTTTTTTCTTTAAAATGTAACAACAGAAAGTGGGAGGAGTTAATTAGATCAATTTAAGACAGGACCCATTGGTGTCCTTTATTTCCTTGAAGTCACTGTGCAAAGACATACACGTCCGTCCCCCACCATCTCAGGCTTCAGTTACAGCAGAATGTGACTTTTTTAAACGTCTTCTCTTTTACTGATAGACTTAAACGTGTCCGTGGAGAGAAGTGGTGTTACCACCACAGTCCACGTACTGGTACATCTCCTGGGATACCTGCTCCACGTGTCCGAAGTACGACGTTGTCACCGTGACCCTGTGAGGACAAAAGTCGAGTTTAGGACGGGTTTTACTTCTAAGTTTAGAAAGTTCTGTTAGTGAAGTTTCTGAATGGATTCTATTGATATAGGATACCCTTGTATTGGGTAAGTGGGCCGGACCAGTACAATCAACATAAAAGTCCATGCTTTTCCCCTTTGTTTTCAGTACAAAAAGTATATTAGATAAATCTCAATTATATGTGATTTTTTAAAAATAATTATGATATAGAATTTTCCAAAACATTTCCTAAACTTGAAGTATACAAAATTCATCAAATGGGCCCAGATTCAAACCTCAAGCGGACCGATTTTAGCCTGCGGGTCATATGTTTGACACCCCTGCATTACATACTGTAATAGTTCACAGAACTTTGGCTGCCTTTTTGCTAGCTTTCAACTATTTCTCAAGTAACAACGCGTTCCATCCACAGCCTCTACTGTGTTGTTCAGTGAAGGCAGGTTTGTTGCCATGGATAATGGTTTTTAGTAAGGCTAAAACTAAATCATTTTTTTAAACATGAAGCATTGCTTCTATTTCAGGGACGTGTGGTCAAAATCCTGAGTAGACATGTTTGAAATCTACACAGCTGTCTGGTTGTCTGTGTTCATGCTGCAGGCTAAAGTGCGGTGCTAAAGTGTTGTGTTTCTGTGCGGGTTGTTTTTCCTGCGCCTCTAGGCGTTTGTTATTTTAATTGTTTGGTGATGGTATCAATGATTTACGAGCTTTAAGATGTGCTTCAGTTTGATATTTAACCATGTTAACTATGTTGAAAGACAGAATATCACACTGCTGGATAGAAGCTGTTTAAAGGGTTTACGAGGTTAATGTGTAGACTAAGGAAAGTTAAGAAGCTGTTTAAGAGGTTAATGTGTAGACTAAGGAAAGTTGTACGACCTCATTGGCTGGCTCCCTTTGCTGTTACAGACTGTACGTCATGTTGTTTTCAGAGCTGTAGTGGAACCACTTATACTACTGTGTGGGGATGGGGGTTTCAGTTTTACATTGGGTGAGGGCAAAGCATACGAAATACAATGAAAATAGAGAAGGACGGAGAAACATTTGAAGAACACTCACTGCATCATGACCACGATGTTGTGAACTTTGATGGTTGGTAAAGTGCAGTAGTCGCTAAAAAGGTCAGAAGTAAATACATCAGGATAAACTGTTGGTCAATTTCAGCAGTATTTTTCTTTTGGGGGGGGGGGCCGTGTTGACGTAAATACTCACAACATGTTACTCATCTCATCGGCAATAGTGGTCGGAACTGTGTAGTCGAGCTGAAATAAAAAATGAATAAATAGAAGATATTTTAAAATGACAAGTAATGCTTTCTGACGCCCTGCCTTTTGGTTTCCACTCCTCGGTGACTAAAGTTGTGGTACCTGGCGAATGTGTGACTAATTCTGCATAGGGTCTGTGTTGACATAACAATGAGGCATGGGCTCATAAAGCAGCAGCTGGAGCTAAAGTGGGTCAAAGGTTTGGTTCATTCTATGACTGGAGAAACTGAGATACTCCTGAGCATGAATGAAAATCTAAAACCGTGAAGATTTCACTTTTTACTGTGTATTTTCACGTCTTTTCAAGGTCAAAGATTACTAAAGGTTTGCCTTCACGACATACGACATATGACATTAACAGTTGTAATTTCACTAGAGCTTGACACTTATGTCATATGTAAGATAAATCATATAACACTAGTGGCATGTTTTCTCACATCATTTCTGATCATGCAATTACATTTTTAGCCTCAGTTACACCTTTGTAACATTAAATCAGTTGAAAACCGGACAGAAAAAAAAGAACTAGAACTACAAATCTCAAATGATGTGGGATTCATGATCATTCATCAGACTCACCTGTCGTTCGTCCAGAGGAGTGATGACGGTGCTGTTGTTATACTTGGCCTTGCCTATGACTGTCTTGGAGAACTGAACCTGTGCTGTGATGTTGTTCACAGATATGGCGTAGTAGTTGTTATTGGTGATGTTCAGGGTGTTCTGGGAGGAAGAAATGTGGTAAAGGTGACAAATTATTCATATTCTGAAATACTACAGAAACATGCTGCATTTGGACATAAAACAGGTTTAGAGTGCTGTACATTTTAGTACATTAGTACCTGGCTTTCTCATAGTGCAAATAAAAGAGGCTTATTTTTAGTTTTTTTTTTGTCTTACTTCCACATCAGCGTCTCTTCATCTCGTTAGTGCAGATCCTAAATAAGCTCTGTTGTGCAGCATTTACATCTGTTTTCTATTTTTACATTAACATTAATAATAAGGTCAATATTTGAATTTACCAACATACTGTATGTGTTGTACTTGCGCACTGACACAACTTCAATCTCTTGGCTTACCAGCAGGTAGAAACACAAGCTCTACGATTGCTGCCTCTAAACATGAAGAAACACAAACTCTACGATTGCTGCCTCTAAACATGAAAATATTTGTATGTGTAAAGTGTAAAGTTTCTTTGAAAAAGCAGATACTAGTAGTTGATTACCAACAATGTAACTACAAAAATTAGCACACATACATTTGATATTCCGTTTATACTCTTTGACATTTATCAATTTTATTTAAATTTCTAGTTTTGGTTAACTTGTACTTATAAGAGAATTGCTTTCTATTTGTATTGTTTATATTCTTTAAAGCAACATACCACACCTCAAGAGAGCAAGCCATGTACTGTAATGCCTTTCCAAACAAGTATGTTGGCAGTTAAAGCATTAACTAAGACTCTAAGTGTATTACAGATTTGTGTGTGTTGGCATGGTTCTGATAGGATGTCTGTAAAACAACATGGTTTCAGTACAGTGTTATCCGGCTTCACTTTCTTACTGTAATGTTGAGATACACGATTCGTTTGTCGTGGTCATAGGAGACGTAGGAAGACTTGACTCCCACGTAGGAAACGTCTATGGATCGAGGGAAAAGGAAGAAAACCGCCAGTCCAGACAGCAGCAGACAAAGGGCCACTGACATGGTGACATAGAGTTTGCTGTCAGGAAGGAACAACAGAGAAGTGAAACACTGGAAGCAGGTGATGACACCAGAGTCTTACATGTTTCATGTGTGTTGACTGTGTGTGTGTAAAAGGACACTGTGCAAACTTACGTCCTGCTGGGTCTCAGGCGCTGGTCGCTGTAGGGAATCAGAGCCACCAGCTGATTCTCTTGGCCTTGGAAATTATTGAAGAAAATCACAATTATTACTTTAATATAAAGAGCACTGTCCTTATAGCTTTAAATTGGGCGTAGTGCTGCAGGTTTACCTCGTGGGATTCTACCAGTGCCTTGACATGTGGGACATGTGACACTGTCCCGTCCAGTGAACTCCACGTAGGGAAACTGGGACACATCTCTGTTTTTGTGATCCTCTTCTGTAGGAACATCCGTGTAGTCACCGTCAGTCGCTGTCAGTGCATCGTGACTCCCATCTTTGTTTTTGGCCAAGTATGACTGGGACTTGCCCATGGTTGCAGCTGTGTCTGTGGGCAACACAAATAATATTGTAGTGAATATGGAGGAAGGTGAGGTGTTTGTATAGATGCTGCGGAATGTGCTGGAACCACAGCCAATGTAGTTGTTTCACTGAATAATTCCAGTTAACAACCAGATTCTGGTTGATTAAGGTCAAATAGCTCATAGATGTGTTCAAACGATGTAGTAAAGTATTTACAAAATATATTAGTATAAAAAACAAGTTAAATAAAGATTTACCCTGTTATAGAGTTTAGTTAATTTAAAAGCGTTTATATGTGAGGTGGTAATATATATATTATATATGTTAGCTTGTAAGGCAAACCTTCATATGTTGCATTAATTAAATGTATCGTAGGCTTCTGGGCTAATTCTTGTGTCTGCTATGGCTTATTTAAAGGCAATGTCATGTTTTAACACGTTTTAGTTAAGCCTTGTTTTACCTAAATTCTATACATTTTGCTAAATATTAGCTAGTGCTCACGATACACAATAACTCGGAGAAATTTCACAAGGTTTTTTTTTAGTCATAATACAACATAATAACCAAGAAATGACATTCATGTTGGAATACAGACCAGTTGGAGGTTTTGTTTTGACTGTCGTGTTTATACAGTAGCCTACAGTACACACGCATGCACACAACTGCAGCTGAGAACATTGAGTACCAGCCTTGGAAAATCCACCCTCTATCGATGTGTTATTCGTCAGTGTCAGTTACATATTAATTTCTAACCATCATATAATTAACAAAACGTCTGATTTTAGGTGGCGTTACCGTTAAAAAACGTTTGTTATAAATATTCAGCGGATTCGGCCGGTCTGCTCCGGTTTTACACGAGACCAACGCTATTTCTGGATGCACGGCCTTTGCTTCGACACAGACACAAAAACACGCCGTTGTTTTCTTTAGTATAATTTGATGTGGCCGTTGGTTGATGACGTCATACCTTTTCTGTGGCTTCGTCAGATATTGTTATGTATCCGTTGCGTCTCTGTCGTGTTTTTGTCGTCGAGCTGTTTCTTCAGCACCGACGAAGAAAGCGAAGACTCCGCCCCTCCCCGTAATCCTTCACTCTGATTGGTCAGACGGATGTAATCGTTGATGATGGTGCGGAAAGAAGCAGAATTATAATTTATTTCATCACCACAGCACATAAAAGACAAAACTGGCTTTGGTTTTTAAAGATGGCTTCGTGTATTTTAAAATAAAGAAACTATTTATTGTAATCATATAGCGTGCTCAAAATGATTGCACCTCCAAGAGATGTCTTATGCATTGAACTGTTAATTTGATTTTTAATTAAATGTTTAATTAAAAACAAGGCGCCAAGTATTTGGTTCGTCTAGGAATCGAACCTAGGTCTCTTTATATACGACATACTGATGTAAATCTTTTAGTTTTTACTTTTACTATTATTTCTGTAAACCTGGGAAAAACAAAAGAAAAAGATTTAGACCTAGGTATTTTTAATTCGATGTTCATGGAGACAACTGTAGGAAGAAATTAATACAAACTGACTAAAACTACAGAGACACAAGCAAATGAGTTCAGTCTCTGAATACTGATAAGTGTTGTAAATGAATGAACCATGGGTGTAAAAGGTCACTTTTGCCGAAGAGACACATCCATGTTGTGAAAACAATTTATTGTATTTTTGTAAAATCAAGTTTTATATATTTTATATATATATTTATTTACATCTAGTCACTTGATAAACATTTTGAATCCAACATTGCCGCCATCTAGTGGTCCGATCTACTTAATTTACTTATAGCAGGTAATGCCTCCAAATGAAGCAATATTTAGTGGAGCACTGTGAATGAAACAAATGTATTGTTGTTGTGAAATAGTAAGAATGACACATTGACCAAAGAAAAACTGAATCCCATACTGCCATCTCGGCCACTGACAACTGAATCCCATACTGCCATCTCGGCCATATTTAGTTGGGTCTCAGCACAGTTCCTGGAAAATGGAGTCATTTGACAATGACCACGATGATTTCCCCTGTCCATGTAATTTTTTCTTTTCTTTTATGCTTTAGCACAGAATAACAAACATGAACTTTCTCCCCAAAATCAGTCTATATTTTGTCTAATATTTAAGTTGTTAAATAAGTCAGTATTATATATATATTATTTTATATATATATTACATTCTAGTTTGTTTGTATTTAGCCTGTTTCAAATGTTGTACAGACGTTAATATTTCTTAATGTCTGCTGTGTTTGCTTTTGGGAATTCTAAATTTATTTATAGGTGAAAATTAAGCATTTAGCAGACAAAAAAAGATGACTGCAGCATGAGCTGTTTCCCTAATAAAGTTGTTTTTCTCTACATTGGCCAGATGAGGGCAGACGAGTGCTTCACATGAAAACACTGCAGACTTGAGCCTCTAAATGCACTTTACAAGAAGACAACTTCGAATTATTGCAATAACAGATTTATTTTAATCATTTTAATCCTCCTCTTCCTTCTCACTGCAGCCTTTTCTCTCTTTGTGTGCGCGAGTGTGTGGCATCTGAAACTACTACTCTGAATAATGCAGACGCTGGCAGGCAGAGGGAAATGCACACTTAGAAAATGGCTAAAAGTAAAGTAGTAGTAGTAAAGTCTGACGTCTGAACGCTGGCCTGTGTCAGGACTGTGCCAGCAAAAGTAGTAAAGTCTGACGTCTGAACACTGGCCTGTGTCAGGACTGTGCCAGCAAACACCAATTAGTGTTGTTTCCAGCTGCAGCTGCAACTGTCGGAATTGTTGGGGTGGATAACGAAAAAAATCGGGAATCCTCCCCGATGTTTGTTAACCTGACATAAACCATTATTTTGTGCTTTGTGCAGCTATTTGTAGAAGTTACACTGAAGATACTAAATTAAATAGCATGTGTGATGTTAAAGGCTTGAAAGTGGTAGAATTTTGGAACTATTGTAGGAGATATTTAGACACTTTGGTTTCCTACTAACTGCAGCCTATCTATCTATCTATCTATCTATCTATCTATCTATCTATCTATCTATCTATCTATCTATCTATCTATCTATCTATCTATCTGTCTGTCTATCCATCCATCCATCCATCCATCCATCTACCCATCCATCCATCCACCCATCCATCCATCTATCTTTCTCACTGACATACAGTTCAGTACATTGACTTTATCAACAGTGTGTTATAATTCTTGATTTTCTTGTATGGACTTTTGGGGGAGATTTTTTGTTGTTGTTTTTTTTTAAACCCTCTCCTAAACTTTAGCAACTTTAGGCCGTAGCCATATTATTTACTTTGTGCCGATTGAAGCACTAGAGACGTGGCTAAAAGAGCGACTCCTCCACTCATCCCTCCTCATCCACAGCACAGCAGAAGGCCTTTGCTTCACACACACAGCTCAGTGGTCTGGTCCGTCCAGACTGCTGTAGAAACGTATTTTAGCACAAGACGCTGCCCTCTGTGAAGAAAGGTTTTGGCCTTGTGTACTTGATCTCAGGCCATGACAACCAAACATTTATTGTATTTTAAAGAGATTTTGGACTTATATATAAAACATCTCTGGTTTGTGTATTCAGTTTCAGCTCTGACTCTACGTGAGCGCCTCCTATAACCACGCTTGATAAACAGTTGAACTATCATTTTTCAACTGATATATGAGTCACATATGAGGCTCTGTGCTGCGTGCAGTGACAATAAAAAATGAGCTAAAAATAAATTAGCCAATGCTACTTGACACCGGTTTGGGTTTAACAGTGACCTACTTGCCGTCGTTAGCAGGTTTCTTATAACGCTGCAGAGCTAAATGATTGGATTTAGGAGCAGCAGCAGAACAAGCAGCAGTAGTATAATCCCAACAAGGGGCAGAATTTAGAAAGGGCTCAGGACATTTTTTTGCCCCAGTAGAATTTAATATTTTCCTTGGTATTCTCACGAAGAGACCTCTAATTGCGCCTTTAAAATGTATTGTTGCCAAATGAGTGAAAGATTTCTTCAAACTGGCTGTTATCATGAAAATGTTATTTATTTTGTCCTTTTGAGAAATGTTTTTTTTTTTTGTTATTTGTTTTTTTCTTTTTTGTGTGTTAGCTATTAGTAAGTCACAAAATATCTGAAAGTCATTTTAGGGCAGATAAGGAAAAATACCTCAAGATTATCTGAGTAATAACACATATTTGAGAAAATAGGAGCCAACATAGATCAAACAATCAAAGTACTAAGTTGACAATAGAGAATTCAACTCTGCAGCATTGAATATTGCATTAATTGAGCATTTTTGTGATAGTAACAAGCTAACTTACTCAGCCCTTGTATAACGAAAGTGAAAAGTGTTAAATTCACCAAACGTGACTAAAAGGTTAATCTAAGAGCTAGCATTATCTTAAGTTAAAAATTGCTTCTGCCCGCAGTTCAGAGCCTCCTTTTAAATCTAGATGTCCTTTTTTATAAGAAAATATGGTCTTAATTACATACATTTGCTGTGGTTTCCTTGAGGTTTTCACACTGTGCAGAAATGCGTTAATTATTGAGCAGTGAATGTAGAAGAAACAGAGAAACAACATTAACTTGTTGTTGAACCCTGAGGAGCACAATGAAGGATTTGAAAGCCCAAAGATTCTGCTGCCGCCGAAACAAGAGCTGGAGATCACAGCACTTCCACTGGTATTTAATTATTTACTGGCCCTGAAATTACCATCAGCCATGTCTGTGATGTGGCAAAGCGCTGCTGGTGCAGGTGATGGTGTTGGTTTTGTTATCAGCCTTTGTTCACGGCAGCTCCAGGAGGCCGTGACTCCACTCCACGTTTCCCTGATCTAAACAGGCGGTTGACATTTTCAGGTTTGAAAAGTCTTTCTTATCTTGTCACTATTGCAGGTTAGATATTGATTTCATTTCCTGTGGTTTGAAGCAAACATTCATGTCTTCTTTGTCTATATTTTACTTCTAAAACACAACACAATGGAATTCAGGATCAAAACACAGTGGGTGTGAGTGTTTTTTTATTGATTCGTTCGTTCTTTAACAGGGAGTTACTCACATCCTTCAAATGTCAACGTCCCTGACCTGGAAGAAAAAGGTCATGTTCTTAAAGTTCGGCTCCATGGCGATGATGTTCTTCAATTTGTTTTATACTTTAATACCATTTTCCTCACCGGAAAATGAAGTTTGAATTTCTGTAGAAAAAGCTAAATTTGTATCTTCCCTGCTGCTGCCATCGTCTGTGGTCTGATTGCCTCACCAGAGTGAATACAAACAAATCATTCCTAAACACCTCAGGTGTGAAATAACACACAGGGGGTCCTCGACGTATGGCAGAATTCTGTTCCTATGGCAGGATGTAACTCAAATATCAACCAAAGACATCGGTGTCAAACTCATTTTCACCAGGGGTCACATCAGCAGTACAGTTCCCCTTGAAGGGCCAGTTGTAAATGGAAGACTGTATAGATCAGGGGTCCCCAACCCCTGGTCCACGGACCAGTACCAGTCCATAGGGCATTTGGTAACAGTGGGACACAATAAAAAAATGTACTTAATCTTTACTAATTTACTTCATTCAAAGAAAATTCAGTCATATCCAGTTTTACTTTCTTTATTTAAAGATTATCTGGCAAAAGACAATCTAATTTTAAAATAATATGTCATTCAGACTGATACAAACAGAATAGAGTCTAAAAGATGTTTTATTTTGAAAATGTAATGATCCTTCAATGCTCAGTACTTTGGTACTGGTCCGTAGTAATGGGTGGTACTGGCTGACCAGTAGGAACAACAAAGGTTGGGGACCACTGGTATAGATGGAACTACTCCATAACAGACTAATACATGTTTCTGCAATTAATTATTATTTGATGTGACCTGTAGTTTTTAAAGACGAAGAAAGTTTATTTTGGCATGTTGCTTGAACAATGATATCTGCATATTCACACCTCATACATAGGCACTTTTGCCGTCACTGTCTCTGGCAGTTGTTGCCATCAGGTCACAAAACAAACCCAGCCAATACTGCTGGGTGAGCTGGTTTAGCTTACTTTCCTCTGTCAAGAAGTGCGTAGTAACACAAATGTGCACTCATTTATTCTGAGCCACTGTGATGTTGAAGATGCATG